TTTGGGTGTTTCGTTTGTTCCACTTGGTCTACTGACATGTGACCACAAATGTCAGCTTGGATGTGTAGCATATTAAGACAGTTCTTTAACTTAGGTAACTTAATAACAAAATCACCAATATGTTAATACCTTAAAAAGTGAGATTATGGACTACGTAGCCCATTAAAAAAAGAAAGTATAAGCTACATTTTGGTCCTATTCTTTCTGATAAGCTACCTTACCTAAATCTTGACTGAAAATTTTAGTTGAAGTCTCCAGTTATCTTTCCTTAACAGTATTTGGTAGATTTCTTATGATGTTCAGGACTTCAAAAACAATAAAAGCATTGATTGAAAATTACTTATCCTATCTCAATAAATGAACCAAGGTGTTAAATAATGAAACGTGTTCGTATGTCTTGGCATAGATATATAGATATAAACTGTTCTGTAACACCACTAATTCTCTGTCAGTGAGGTATTGGAGCTATTAGCCTAAATGTTACAGAAAATCGTGTACTGGTCCTGTTTTAATAATTTCTAAGGATGTGCTTGAAATAAGCATGGGCTTAGGAGTCAGATATGGATTTGAGGCCTAGAACTGCTACTTACTTTTTGAGTGATGTTTAGGAAGTTACTTAACTAGTTTGCTTCTTAGTTTCTTTACCCAGAAAGAATTTTCAGAATGGCTTAACTTAAAAAGACTGACAAGGATTTGGGGCAATTAGAACTGTGATATTTTGCTGAAGGAGTGCCAAATGAAATAGCCACTTTGGAATGCAGTTTTTAAACAGTTAAATATATACTTCCCATAATATCCAGCTATTCCACTCCTAGGTATTTTTTTTTTAACAGAAATGAAAGCATACTTATACAGATACTTATATGTGAATGTTTGTATCAGCTTTATTCATAATCATCAAAACCTGGAGACAACTGAAATGCTCATCAACTAATGAATAGATAAACAAATTGTGGTATATTCATGCAGTAACAAGGAATGGAATACTAATACATGTAATGAAATGGTTGAATATCATAATATTGATGTTAAGTGAAAGAAGCCAGAGACAAAATTTGAAAGCTATACAATTCTGTTTGTAATGATATTCTGGCAAGAGCAAAACTGTAGGAACTCAAATCAGTTAAGTAGTTGCCAGGATGCTGGGAGTAGGGAAAAGGGATTGAATGCTAAGGGGAATGAGGCAGTATTTTAGGATGATGGAAATGTTTTATATCTTATTTTTATTGGTGGTTATATGACTATACATTTTTTAAATGTTTAAATTTTACTATATGTAAATCATACCTCAGTAAAGAGGAAACAAAAAGTAACTCATGTTTTGGGGTGGTTATGAAAATTATAAAAAATCACTCTCCTATTTTTTCTTCTGTTTGGTTCTTCATTATTCTTTGCTTCTTCTGTGTCCCTCATAAATGTAAGGTCCATGAGAAATTTCAGTTTCTTATTTCAGGGCTGAGATAATATAGAAAACTTTATGTCTTTGTAAGCTCTGAGTCAGATTTTAAATCAGGTCATTAACTGTATTCTTATAATTCTAGATGTTCCAGTTGGTACTAAATAACTCAGAGCTGTAATTTTCATATGCCGTGAAATATACCAAATATATCTGTTTCAACTGGATTCCTGATCTGTGTCCTGTAGCACTGGGAGGGCACAGTATGGTTGAGAGAGCACATGAAGCAGCCTTGAGTTCTGAGCCTGAATCTTGCCTGAGAAAGGCTTCCCCTGCTTTTCAGCAATCCATTGTTCCATGCCAGTGGCTCTCAAACTTGAGCAAGCATCAGATTCACCAGGAGAATTAGTTAAAACATACATTTCTGTCTTCCTCCCAGCTACTGATTTAGTAGGTCTGAGGTAAGGCACAAGCACTTTCATCTCTAACAAGTTCCCAGATGATGTCAATGCTGCTGATTTGGAGTGCACACTTTGAGAACCCTTGATTTATGCTTACTTCTAGTGTGTCAGTGTCAGAATTTCTACCCCCATACTCACCTACAGGAGCCAACATTTTGTTTTTAAACTGCCTTCTTTATTCGTGGCTACTTCTGTATTGGCTGAAATCAGTATATTCTACGTATATGAGAGAGAGAAAGAAAAAGAGAAGCAGTAAAACAGTAAGTGCTTGGCTGGAGTTCACAGTGTTTGATGCCTGAAAGGCAGGGAAATGGTTCTGGGAAGGGAAAAAGGAAACAAAGATATGTCTAGCCACACCCCCTTCCTTTTAACCTGTTGAGTATTGTCATTGTACATCATAATCCTTTTATCCCCTTAGCAACGGGCTCCTTTGGGGCTCCCATTCTCTCTACTTTAAAAGTTCTCAAGACTCTTACTAAGCCTCTTCTGCCCATTTGCCTAAAATGTTTTCATTTAAGACTTTTTTCACTGTCTAGTTGCTAATAAATAGGCCCTGCCTCCTTACACTTACATCGTGTGATTATATCTTGTTTTTTAAGATAAATAGTAATTTTCCCTGAATAAAACCAAAGTACTATGAACTGTACCGTTTGAAATAGGGATGTGTAGGCGACTGATTTCAATTGAACAAATGTGAATCATGTTCTCGTGAATCATGCTTCCCTAGACCAAGAAAGAAATAACCCTAATAATTTTAATAGCAATGGGTGGGAATAGAGAATATGAGTAAAATATAGAATTTTAAAAATAATTTGTGGTAAATTTAAAGAAATCATGGATTATTTCATTTTCCCAAATGCCAAAGCAGATATTGAGGACTATATATAAAATTGTTCAGAATTTCTGTTATGTAAAGGTTATTGTAGGGTACAGTGTGCTGTAATGATATCTGCTGATTTTTCTCTCTGATAAATTAAATGGAGTATATTATACTTAGAGCTGGGGTCCCTTTATCCCTCTACCACCACCTCACTGATTATAGAGCCTTTAGAGAAAATGGCTCATTGCACTAGATGATTACATGCCTCAATTGAATAGTAGCTTGTTGGCAATTATCATTACAATGCCATATTGATTTTTTTCTTGTTTCCATTATGGAAATTAAAGCAGAATTTGTTTAAAATGAGCTTCTATGTATATCGTGGATGGCGATTTGTTCTGAATATGAGCTATTTTAAAAATATATTTCTTTCAGTGATGTGATGTCTCTGATACTCCCTTAAAAATTTAGGTCTCTGCTTTGTTGATAAGATTTACCTTACGTCTCTATGAAATGGATAATTTAAAGACTGGAATGGAATGTTTTAAATATATAAAGCATAGATTTTAATTATTTCACAGAAGTCTATATATTGATTTATGTTTATGATGTTCTTGGGAAGTATCAGATTGGTTATTCTCTTAACCATACAAGCCAGTAAATTTAATTAAATTTAAATTAGCAAATATTTATTTAGTGTTGACTCTATTTAATGTAAATACTTAGTGGCTATATAGAAGCTTCCTAGTTAAACACTATGAAAGATAGAAATATTAATGAAATGATCCAACTATCTTTAGAGAATTTATATGCCAAAGGGTAGATAAGACATATGGCAAGAATCATTATGATAATGTCAGACAGTAAAAGATAAATGTTACATGGAGATTCTAAGGAAAAGTAATTCATTTGATTGGAGGAATTACGGGGAAAACAATAATGACTTAAAAAAGCCAATTTTAGCTGTAAATGGTTTGGAGAGATGGAGCTGAGGTTACCTTCTGGGAAGAAAGAATAAACGAGTTAACATGAGGACGTCCAAGGTGGGCTCCAGCAATAATAATTTGTCTGATTTATTGGCACATGTGCTTTAAGGCCTGAGGCTGGAAAGGTAGATTGAAGCTACATCAAAATGTTGAGCCAAAGGATTTTAAATGTATTAGGTAGTCAAGGGGAAATTTTTGGACAGGAAACTTTGGTTAAGGGTAACTTAGTCTGTAGTTTTATAGAATGAGTAAAAGAAAAGAATGAAGTTGAGGAATCACCAGTTGGGAGTCTCCAGGCTTATTAAAGAAAAGATAACTAGGGCTAAACTAGAATGTTAGCACAGGCATTAGAAAGGAAGAAAGGGGGCATTTGAGGGAGCCATTCTAGAAGTAGAATATTTGTGACTGGATGCCAGAAAGTCAAACCAAGCTGTACATTATCAATATTTCAGCCTTCTACCGCACAGGGGACTTTATCTCCAGCCAGTCTCCTAAACCTGCTTGCTCAGCTTCTGCCACATGGGTCTCCTCACAGTTCCTGAAACATTCTAAACACACTAGCTAATGCCTCATGACCCAATTTGCTCTTAATCCTTCTACCTGGAAAGTCCTCACTTTCTCAAGGGTTCTGCTGAAATACCTAACCTTATCAAAGACTCTTTCCTGATCACACATTGAAAAATAGCAACTTGCTACTCCTTTCATTGTATTTTCCAAGGTTTATTTTTCTTCATTGCATCAAAGCAATTATTACATTTATTATATACTTACCTGTTCACTGTCTCCCTATCTCTAAAGTCCATGAGGCTATTTGCTTAGTGTTGTTGCCTGTTCTGTATCTCTCTCACCTAGAACATGCTTGGAACTTTGTAGACACTCAACAAATATTTGTTGAATGAATAAATAGGATAAATGCAAAGGTGAAAGAAATGGGGCATCAAATAACTATGCCAGTATTTCAAGTCTGAAGAATTTAAAGGGTAGTAATGTTATTAATAGAGTATCAAAGAGTAGAAGATAAGTTGACTTAGGGGTATGGAGACAAGAGGAAGATTAATTCAGCTTGTAAATTCATGCTTAAATATGTCATGCTGGTGAAACAACCAAGGCAGTGCTGTGTAATGGGCACTCTAAAATGCGGACAAGTCTAGGATTGAGGTAAAGATCACTGAGTCATCCCATAGAGTTGACACTTGAAGCAATGGGAATTGAAAAAATAATAACAAGCAATATTGAGACAGAATTACCAGATTTGAAAACTAAATTTGTATTTTGGATATTTAATGTTTTATATTTACAAACTTATTTATACATCTAATTTTTTGTTTACTTCTTAGCTGGGTTAACAACTTCGGCCATGAAGGTCTTGGACTCTTATTGGATGAGCTGGAAAAGCTTCTGGACAAAAAACAGTAAGAATAAACATTAAAAATAAAATCACCAAAGGGGAGATGTTTCAGCACAACATAAGATATATATTTTTCTTTATTTAGGCAAGAAAATATTGACAAGAAGAATCAGTATAAACTTATTCAATGCCTCAAAGCATTTATGAATAATAAGGTAAGTTGTAGTTATTTCTGCCCCATCACAAAAGGTGAGAACTTGTCCAACAGTACGAAAGTATGAAATGAACAAAATATTTTATTTTTTAATTATGTTTTTAAGTTCTGAGGTACATGTACAGGATGTGCAGGTTTGTTACGTAGGTGAAACTTATCACCTAGGTAATAAGCCAGACATGCATTAACTCTTCCCTAATCCTCCTCCCTACCCTGTACCTATTTTTTACTTATGTTTCTGCTGTATTAATTAACTGTAGACTAGTATTACAGGTGTATACATAATAAATGTTTATAAAGTTTTACAGCGAGGTTAAATACACATTTGAAACCATATATAAAAGATAAATTTGATGTTTAATTTTCCAAAATGTGAGCTATTGTTAGTTTCCTCAATTTTTTTTTTTAATTCTGTGGTGATATTTCAGTTTAACCAAAGAAGCCCTCACAGCCTCCAAAGGATTTCAACTGTGATATGACTTCTATAGATCTAAATCTGTTAAAAAAAAAATGGATCCCTATTCCAATGTTTCTTCTGTTCAAATATATTGCTTTCACATAGGGAAGATAGATAAAACACTACTCTCCATTGACAATGCTACTAATTTCCTCAGGAGGGTGAGCTAGTCAATGAAACAAAAACAATGATTGGAAAAAGTGTATTTGACTCTTGTCTATAATTTAGAAATGCTGTGTCTGATTCCCATTCTGTGTTTTCCTCCAAGAATTTCTTTCATGTGAACACAGGTCTTTTTGATTTTATAGTATATTCAATATTCAGAAAACATGAAAAAAAAAGAACAAAATAGTGAGTGCTTGTTCAGTTTACAAAAGGATCTTTATGATGCAAATCCTCATAATATTTAAATAGTACTTAAATGAAACGTATACTTTGCTTCACAAAATATTGATTAGTGGGTTTTTGAAATCATGCAAATGAATTAGTCTTGCTCCCAATTCAGGTAATAATATTGTTTCTTTAATGGTAGTAGGAAAATTTAAAAGTCTTTTCTTGAATACTGTTTCCATACAGAAAATTTTTATTCCATTGAAAAAGAAAATTCTAAGGATGGGTTGACTTGCTTACTAAGAACATTGTAAGGTTGAGATTTCTCTTTTATGTTTTATTAATGTCAGCAAGTTTACATACATATACGACATCTCTGAAAAATAGCAGAGCTTTTGATGTATATGTATAATACTAGTTGCATTATAATGGACCCTATGAATTTTAGACGATGGTTTTTCTTCGAAAAATAGACTTCACTCAGGTTATGAAGTTACAGTATTTTTTTCTATAAACTATTTTTTTTACTGTCTTAGAAGTGACATCTACATACCTATAGATGAAATACTATTGCCTAATTCACTTTATTACCTAGTTCCTTTTATATAGTATTTTAATAATCTCAAAATAGAAATAATTATATCAATAACTAGAAGTTTGCCAAATGTAAAATATACCTATTAACCAATGCAATAAGACTGTATCTTAATCTATAGAGTATCAAGCATATGGAAATATATATATGTTATACATACATGTACCAGCAAAGAGTATTAATATATCAGCATATGTAATGAATGTTTGCTGGTGGACATGAGACTCCTGAATACAATATGCTAGTTGTACTGTTTCTGGAAGCTTCTTACAGAAACATTCCCATCACAACTAGTACAGATTTTCTCAAATCCTGGGCTCTTAGTGTTTGGCTACAAAGTTAAACAGAATCTGATGCCTAATAAGGAATTAATGAGCATTGCTGCTTCACAGCTCAAGATGGATCTCTTTCTTCAATCGAAGGAAACAGTGACTTGATGGAAAGAGAACACAGCACCAGAACTCAGGAGATACAGTTTATGCTTTGCCCCTAATAAGTTGCATGGCCTTTGGAAAACTACTTGACCTCTCTGAGTATCAGTCCCCTCATCTGTAAATTTAGCTATAGGACCCATTGTTCTACGTTTTTATTGACTTACGTTGTCAATTATCACAGCTTTTCAGGATGCTAAGTAATTTTAATCAGGACAGTCACTAAAGAGAATTGTAATAGAAAGATTCTTATAGAGCCTTTGTTTTCGCAGGACATACTTTGATTTGTCAACACTTTCTTAAGAGTTTGACAGTTTCAAAAAGCATGACGATTTGACTTATATTATTCAAAATTGATATTTTTAGTTAGGCCATGTTAATGTCTTGCACATAGGTACTCCGAGCATGAATTAATAATATTTTAAATTATTGACATGTGAAACAATAGGCATAAAATATGCATTCAGAATAGAAAATAGACAGTGATCTTTTCACTTCATGTTGGAATACATTGTCCAGATCAAGGAATTAAGCTTTTATCCGAAATGACTTACACATCAAATTTTTTGACCCCATGGAGTTTAGATTACCTACCTCAACAGCTCCTTTCTCTTATCCAATGCATTTAAAAAATAGGATCATAAAAACCCATTGTTTTTAACTTCCAGTACTATAATACTGCTCTGATGTTTGGATTAATGATTTTCCAGATATATTTTTCATGTCTTTTTTTATTTTTGATGTGTTTCTACATATTAAAATCTATTTTTAAACATTAGGTAAAATTTTTAAAAGCTAAATGATTTCACTCTCAGTCTCAATCACTCATAAAGCTATTAAGTTTGGTAATTGCATGGTAATCATCTATCAGTTTTACAAATGTGTTTTTCACTAATATTCATTACTTTTAATCACCTACTGGCCACCTTTATGCGTACTTATCTATTTTTGTTTTTGTTGCTTCTTTCCAGACATGTTTCTTCCATTTGATTTTTTTTGGTCTTATCTCCGTATATTTTCTTATTTATTATGACCTGTGATAAAATCACATTTAAGAGCTTTAGCTGTGTTCCCCATCTTCCACTCTGAGTTCTTTTAGAAGTTAAATTAGTGATAATGGAACTATTCATATGGCTGGTAATTAACTAAAGTTTAGCTGAAATGGAAATTCTGCTTCGATGAAATATCCAATTTCACTATTAGACTGTAAAATGAAGCAAAAATATTTTATAAGAAATCTGAAAATTACTTTGTGGGACAAAGATCAAAGAATACGTTGTCTTAATGTAATAAAAACTTAAGTTTTAGACTTTCATTAGAATTTCTTTACTTATTTATTCATGTATACACACAGGTATTCATACTTAGAAAATAAAGGAAAATGATGTTTTCTCTCTTTAGTTGACTTGTGACATTTAAGAAAACACAGGTGCCATTTCTTTAGGTTCACAGCTTTTGTAGTGCAGCACAGCTGTCTGAGTCAGGGAGGATAAGAGAGAGAAGGCACGGGAATACCCATACTGAGACTTATACTGGCATATAGTATTCAAAAGAGCCTTTAAAAAAAAAACATTTTTCTCTTTTTCTTCACCTTAATTTTTCATACAAACATATTGGACAATTTAGCCATGAATTCCAGACATCTCCAGGGAGACCCACTGACATAAGTAGAATTACTTTAGAAAATCATATCAGTATGTGCTTTACATGTTATTCTTTGTTGAAGAAATACTGATTGTTCCCATATTTCTCCAAATTTATGGAATTTTTAGGGCAGGCTAATGGAGATCATATCTGATCAAGGAGCAACAACTCCAAGATGCAGTCATTTTAAATAAAAAAACAAAGATATCTGCATTTGAAGAATATTCATATAATTAGGCAGAACCTTATTGTGGGGGTATGGATTTTTGAAAGATCATTGTATGTTGCTTTTTTAAATTAAAGATATATTCCTTAGACATTTTGAATGAAGTTTCTTCTTCTTTTTTTTTTTCAGTTTGGATTACAAAGGATTCTAGGAGATGAAAGAAGTCTTTTACTATTGGCAAGAGCAATTGACCCCAAACAACCCAACATGATGACTGAAATAGTAAAAATACTTTCTGCTATTTGCATTGTTGGAGAAGAGAACATGTAAGTATTGCTATATTATTTATATTTGCTGCATGGAAAATGACATTTGAGAAATTAATAAACCCTACTTTTGTCCTACTTCTTTGGATAACTTTCATGTAAACAATATTTTAGATAATTTTTGATTGACAGTTTTATCTTGTCTGTTTATATTTTGGCTTTTTTGTTGATCTTATGAAAGCTAAGTTTAAATAGATAGAATCTTAGTGGGAAGTTCTTGGAAATTTGATTCATAGTGATTGAGTAGAATTTTGTTTTGCTGGAGGTACAGCAATCATTACAAAGTGGACAAAAATCAGAGAGTTATTTTGGCACATACACACACATACATAGACAAGCACTGTACTGCATATCACACAATTTGAATAGATGCCTTTGTTTTGGATTATTATCTTATAATAGTATTTTACTTTATATGCCATGGTAAATGAAAAGATGAGGTAATTATTTGTAGAGTGAAATAAACCAACCTGTTAAAAAGAAAGCAAAAATAGGTTGTTGATAATTATTCAAAGTGTATGTGTGCTACCAAATGCAGCAAGTTTTTGCTGAACATGCATTTGATCATATCTTCTTATGGAAATAATATTGAATCAGATGTAAATTTTCAGATTTGATGACATTAGTAAGTCTAGTTCGTAAGAAACCATTGTGATAAAGAATCAAATATCTGCTAAGGACCTGAACTATGCGATATGTTGACTTTCCTATAACTGTTAGAATAAAATGAGATGTTGCTTAGTGTTAGCTACTGTCCTCAGAACCCAAAAGACAAACACTAATCAAAAATACTAAGTCTCACCTCAATGATAACAAACCGAGAATGATATAACATATGCAAAAGCAAGGATCCTTAGATTTTATTTTTTAAAATCTCAGTTTATACGTGTGTAAGAAATAGTTTTAATCACTTAGATTTTCAGTATTCATTAAATACAGTCTAGTCCAGTATAACTATTATGATTTAACTATAATTTCAGATATAATTTGATAAGAGTAGTATACTATATGGAGGTTAATTTGTTTTAGGCATTGTGTAGCAATACTTAACAATATTTTTGGTCAGGTTAATAAGTTTCTTATGCTAGATAATTATACATTCTTCTTTAATTACCTGGGCTTTCCTTTTTAGAGTCTTTTTTCTTTTTTCATTTTCAAAAAATGTTGATTTAAAAAATTATTTAAAAAATAATCACTCTGTCTAGAACTTTATTATAAAATTACAATCTGCTTATGTTCCAATAAACTGTTAACAATTATAGGTGCCATATTATGTTTAAGTGATATTAAAGTTAACACATTAAATATCAAAACCTGAAAATTTAAATTTTAATATTTATCACTTAAGTATTCTTTTTAAAATGTCACCCAGTAAAGTTACTTTCTTTAGAATTTTTTAAATTGAATTTTCCTTTTGATGCTCTAAAATTATTTACATCTATGAGTATTGGACTTAAAGAAATAGGTGGACAGGAACACAGTTCTTATATTGTAATGGTCTTTCAGTTAGACCAGAGGAATCAGTTCAAGAAATCTGTTTTACGCCATAGTGACTATAGTTAATAACAGTATGTTATATACTTGAAATTTCCTAAGAGTATAGATTTTAAGTGTTCATACCACAAAAAATGTAACTATGTGAGGCAATATGTGTTAATTAGCTAGATTTAGCCATTCCACTATGTATACATATTTGAAAACATACACTTTTCGTCAATTAAAAAAGTAAATGATAACTTTTAAAAATTCTTATAGTATATATAAACATCAAATAGCAGAAAGAAAACAGGGAATACTGAAAGGACCCAGGCTTACAATGTGTGTATAAGAAGTATTTCTTATTTCTGTTTCTTCTTTTTTCTCTACAGTCTAGATAAACTTTTAGGGGCTATAACAACGGCAGCAGAAAGAAATAACAGGGAACGATTTTCACCAATTGTGGAAGGTTTAGAAAATCAGGAAGCCTTGCAATTACAGGTGAGTTAGTTTTGTCTTAAATTGCTTCTACAGTTATATTTAGAGTACTCATTTTGTATGACATCAACTCCATTTTAGCTGACATTTAAATAGTATGGAATGTAAAACTAAAATTTCTCTGTTGCTTGTTTGTGAGAATTACATTTTTTTTTTAATTCCGACAAATAGTTTGGAATTATAAATGTGGTGGGTTATGACTAATTGATATTTGGACAGGAATTTAGTAATTAATATAATAGACCAGGGAAATTGAACCCTTAGCAATAATCAGACAAAAGGGCAAGCAGTTCAGCCAATGCCATTATCCTAACATGTGTTAATGAAGTCTGTGGACTTGTAGAAATTTAAGACAATTAAACACGTCTCTCTTTGTGCTCTTCAGACAACATTCAAAGGTCTTACTCACCAGAATAGAAGGGATTAAATTGCAATTCTTAGGTTAGTGTCCGTTTGATAGCCCTATATAGACACAAATTACTAAATGCCTTCTTTAGAAAATGACAAAACTCACTGTCTTTTCTTACATGGTTTCTGGAAATGATCCGTTTTATGAATGATAACTCTGTTCTTGAGGGATGAGAGTGCATGTTTATTGCCTGTATTTATGGTATGAGATCCTGCACTAAACATTTTAATTTCATATATTATTTGATTTAATTCTCAAAACAACCTAGATATGTAGTTATCACTATAGTATCATCTTTGTTTTGCTTATGGGACGAATAAGCTGAATGAGATTAAATAACTGGTCTAATGTGACACAATTTTTAAGTGGTACAGTTGGAATTTGATTCCAGGTTTTTGGTCTCTGCTGATCTCTCTTTTAGATAATGTATACCATTTAATGTACCATGGAAAAGTCTCTGAAATTTTGTTTTTAATTTTCATATTGTCATTCAACAAAGAGCAGGTAGTTTCTACATTTAATGTTATCAAGTTATTAGTATTGAATGTTTAAGTATTAAATTTCTTGCTTGATGTGAAACAAACACAATTAATTTTCTCCTCTTTTATATATTATGTAGTATTTGTGTCTTTGTTTGCCAGAATTTGAAATGGCATAAGATAGATGAATTGGCTTGTCTAAAGAGAATCTGTAATGTAACAAAATTGTAATTCCTCTCCAAATATTTAAGGATCTTTATTAATCATCACTTCTACTCCAATGATACTGAGCATTTTGGATCAACTTTTATGGTGTACTTTTCTGTCAAATATATTACTTATTTATTTAATTAATTTTTGAGATGGAGCCTTGCTCAGTTGCTCAGGCTAGAGTGCAGTGGTGCGATCTCCACCCACTGCAACCTCCACCTCTCAAAGCAATTCTCCTTGCCTCAGCCTGCCAAGTAGCTGGGATTACAGGTGCACACCACCATGCCTGGTTAATTTTTGCATTTGCAGTAGAGACGGGGTTTTGCCATGTTAGCCAGGCTGGTCTCGAACTCCTGACCTCAGGTAATCTGCCTGCCTCAGCTTCCAAAAGTGCTGGGATCATGTTACATATTTTGGAAATTAGGATTTTTTTTAGCAGTGTTTTTTTATAATACATTTTTTCTTATAAAATTTAATTTTGATAAAATTTCATGCCTCTACTGAAAGATGGAAAACTGCCTTTTTTTGACGACCTTGAAAGTTTTGTTTGTGTTCCTGTGGTTGGACTTACCTAACTAAATTTCATTGGTTTTTCCGATATATGCATAAGTTTGTACTTCTCTTCGAAAGTTTGTTGAGTAGGAATGAACTATTTTATTTATATTCAAACTTTTCATTACATTTTATACTCAGTTTGCCATACTTGGGCCAAATACATTGATATATTTAAAAAATCTTCCTTAAATAAATTTGTAGCCACAACTCTGTGAGTTATATATTATTACCTCTGGTTTACTGATCAGGGAATTGAATTGCTGGAAGGCACTCAAAAATCACACAGCTGTTAAGGAATAGAGCTGTAATTTGAACCCAGGTCTTTGTGATGCCAGAATTTAAATACTGCATTGCCTATACTTTCAAGGGACACCTCTGCCAATGAGTAGTTCACTCCAAACAATAAGATGGGAAAGATATTTGCTAGCCTTCAGGAAGCTGGACAAAATGGAACGATAAAATAACAAGTTGTTAACAAGTAACATATGGAAGAATCATAGACATCTTGTTAAGTGTTCAAAAAACTGTTGAATACTGATTATAGATGCAAACATATGCAAAACACAATTTAAAATTTCACATTTTTGAGCTACAAAAATTAGTAATTTGTTATATACAGAGTCTAGTACTCTCACAAGAATTGTGAAATGAGTTTGTTTATTTAGACTATTTAATGTGAATGAAAAGATATCCTGTAAAAGTTCACAAATATACTCAGAATACAAAAACAAAAAACCAAAAGTTTAAATCCGTTGTTTAAAAAATACAATTAGTGTTGCATTTCAGCAGAACTACTTTTCTATTTCTGTAGTATCCTGAGACTTCCCAAAATGTTATTACAGTCTCAGGAAGTAATTTTGTTAAAATACAGGACTAATTATTTTTTTAAATAACAACTATATACATTTTCCCCCTTTTGGGGGTTTTAAATAAAAGGTTATTAACTTCTCACAGATTTTTTTCCTAGCTTACCTTTAAAGTGAAGTTTTGTACCTGTGATAGGATTTTCATTATCTTCAGGAGTTCAAGAAATAGGTAGAAGATATATTGCATATCTTCATACACTCTCTTTTCATTGACTTACCTTCAGCTTAGTAGCATTCTCCGGCCTCTTCTGTAAAGCACAGATTATACACCAGCAGCTTCTTTTGATCTGACTTACTCTTCTAACTAGCCTCTTGTCTCCCCTTTTCATTTTAAAGTTCATGCCTCTAAAGAATAATCCATACTTGTTTTCTAAATTACCTTTTACAGCTCAACTTTCTTACAGTTCTCAAAAAGATTTACAGTGAGCCTCTAATTTCAAAATCCAATGGCCTCTTTCCAATCCTGATCACTTGGCGCTATTGATCACCTTCCTCCTTGAAAATTTTAATTCTCTTGGCTTTCTAGGCACCATTCCCTCCTTTGTTCTCTGAGTACCTTTATGGTGTTTTTTTTTGTTTTTTTTTTTTTTTTTCCTGTCTTTCTAATGTGTTTCTCCTCCTCTTACATCCTGGGTATTTTGTTCCCTATGTTCTATCCTTGGTCCCCTTTTAGTATCATTTTATGTACATACATTTGTATGCACATACATATAACTACATGTACATGCATATACACTCAGACACATACTTTTAAAAAATAATTTTTGTCCGTGAATGTTCTCAATTACTTCTCTAGTTTTACAATTCACCTGTGGTAGTGATTTTCCAGATTTATACATCCAGCTCAGTGACTGAGATTATAAAATTAAGAAATCAAAAATAGCACTTATAACCCGTATGCCAGAAAATGTTTAAATACTTTACATATGTTATCTCATTTAAACCTCACAGCAATTGTATGAAAGAGATAGAAGTATTATCCCCATTTTATAGATAATTAAACTGAGGCTCATAGAGGTTAAATAACTTTCCTAGGGCCACAGTATGAATAGAAGTCAAAGCACAGATAACGCACCAGGGAGTCTGGCTATAGATTACTTGCTTTACCTTCTAAGCTGTGTCTCCTTTTATAGTAAAACTTAGCTGATTCTCTCTTTCCGTTACCCTGATTTTCCCTAAGTCTCCTTTTCTTCCTGTGTTTCCTGTTTTTGGTTATAGAGGTATCATCTTCTACCCAATTTTTAATTTTTCTCAACACTTCATTCTTTTTTTGTCCCCTGCATTCAGTCAGTCATCAGGTCTTACTACAAAATACAGTACTGACTGTGAATCTAACCCATTCTACTTCCACTGCCTTTATCTTCTCCCATCAATATTATTTCAACAATTTCCTGATGAGTACCCCATACTGACGTGTTCTTTCTCTCCAGACAAGTGTCCTACACTGTTGTCAGTTATCCTTAAAAGTAGATCAAATTCTAATATATTATCATCATTAAAAATATCATGGGCTGTGCACGGTGGCTCACGCTTGTAATCACAGCACTTTGGGAGTCTGAGGTGGACAGATCACCTGAAGTCGGGAGTTCGAGATCAGCCTGACCAACATGGAGAAGCCTTGTCTCTAGTGAAAATACAAAATTAGCTGGGTGTGGTGGTGCATGCCTGTAATCCCAGCTACTCGGTAGGCTGAGGCAGGAGAATCGCTTGAACCTGGGAGGTAGAGGTTGCAGTGAGCAGAGATCATACCATTGTACTCCAGCCTGGGCAATAAGAATGAAACTCCGTCTCCAAAAAAAAAAAAAAAAAAAACTATGCTCGTGACCCATTGCTAACTTTTTCACTGTGGCCTTAACTAAATATTCTGGCCTTTGAGCCTGTTTTTCTCCCAAATGTACCATATGTTTGCCCCATACTACACTTGGTGTTTCCCAGATATGCTATAGACTTTTAAATGCCCTCAAACATTTTATCATGTAGAACAGTTTGCCTGAAATACCTACCATTCCCCACCTATATCTGTGTGTTCTATGTCTTGCATAAGTCTGCGAAGGCTTCAGTAATGAGGTGATATTTTAAGTAGGCCTTGAAGGACAAGTAAGCATTTTTTATAAATTATCTTTGCTGATCGAAAAGCAGTACTATGGTAGGATGAGAGTTGAAAAGGGCTTGCAGGAGGTAAAACAGAGGCCCACCTGGCAGTCACTTCATAAAAAATAGGTAATCCCAGCATGTAGCTGAAACTGCTTTATAGATAGCCAGGTAGGAAAACCTAGGGTATACTGAGCATTAAGAATGGTTTATAAAAAGGGAAAGTAGTATGGTTAACATACAATGATACCCTATCAAAACAGCGCCAGTCTTCGCAGGCCGCTATTAGTTTGAAAGGTGCCATGTTTGTACAGTATTTCAGTATATACAAAGAAGTATACCAGCGTAATTTAATACATTTAAAAACTGTTTTCTAACGTGATGAAAATAATA